AAAGTCCCCTTCTCCACAGGGGGCTCACTCTGCTCTGTCCTCTGTAGCCATTCTCTATTCCATGGTGCATAGTCTTTAAGATACTAGAATTGGAAAGGCCTTGTACTGACGGAGACTCAGGGACCAAAGTGGCCTTCAAGGGCCAGACCAATAGAGGGAGTGGACCTGCTGTAATGGGGGCTCTCATCCGGTCAGCCTCCTGCCTGGTGGTGGCCTCAGCCTACCCATCCTGTTATTTTGGCTCTTTTCTCAGCTGCAACCTTGAGAGGATGACCCCTGACTCTTTGCCTTTGAGTCCAAGACTACTCTGCTCCTCAGGTTCTCCCTGGTATCAGATTCACTAACCAACGTCAGCATTTGACTTTCTTTGTGTCAAGGGGACCCAGTAACTCTTAACGGAATAGTGACTGGGGGTGGAAAGCTCGTCTCCCCCACCTGCCAGCTCTGTGGCATTGGTCAAGTCCCTGGAGCTCACCATGCCTCAGCTTCCCCATCTAGAAACGGTGTGATAACAGTCATCTATGTCAGAGAGTTAGTAAAGGATTAAATGAGTACATATTCCTAAAGGGCTAGCACACAAACACGATGGAAGTATGTGAGTAAAAAATAGGCTGTGTCTCCATTTAACAGATCGGGACACAGAGGCCCCAACTTGCCCCAATTCACACGGCTCCTGGAGTCACAGCTGTGGCGTCAGTGCTGCTCCTGGCACACCACTCTCTGGTCCTGGTGCTACCCATGACCTCTCAGGTCCAGATTCAAATAAAATGATTTTAGGGGGCCTTTGACACTCTAGGAAATACTGTTCCCTCATTTCCTTCTGGGCCTAGTTGTGATGTGAATGGTTAAGAATGAGGATGTCGGCCAGGTAGTGACTTAACGCCTGTAATCCCAGCACACTGGAAGGCTGAGGTGGGTGGATCATCAGCGTTCAGGAGTCTAAGACCAGCCTGAGCAAGAGCAAGACCCATCTCTACTAAAAATAGAAAAATAGAAAAAATAAGGGCCAGGCGTGGTAGCTTATGCCTATAATCCCAGCACTCTGGGAGGCCGAGGCAAGTAGATCTCCTGAGCTCACAAGTTCAAGACCAGCCTGAGCCACAGAGAGACCCTATCTCTAAAAATAGCTGGGCGTTTTGGTGGGCACCTGTAATCCCAGCTACTTGGAAGGCTGAGGCAAGAGGATGGCTTGAGCCCAGGAGCCTGAGGTTGTTATGAGCTGTGATGCCACAGCAGTCTACCGGGGTGACAAAGTGAGACTCTGTCTCCAAAAAAAAGAGTGAGGATATCCAATCCCATGAGCAACTTGAGTCTGAAAGTGCTGCCCAGATGACATTAGTGCTGTGTCCCTTTGCTGTCAGTGGAATCAGCAGGTTAGGGCCCTTCTCCCCTGCTCATTCCCTACGTGCCAGCCTCTCAGTTTATTCCAGAGAAAAAATCACAGCCGTGTAAAATTGCATGCCCACCCTGTCCTCACCCCCTCTGTGTGTGTGTCAGGCTCGAGTCCTTTGTGTTGGGAGTTGCTTGTCCTTCTGGCCATCACCGTGTGGGAATGGCTGGGAGCTTCCCTGCCAATTGGTCCCAGGAGTTGGAGCAGACCGATCGGGCAGGGGCCGCAGCTGCCCGCAGCCCATCTGGGACACCCCCTGTTGCAGGTTAATGGGGTCAACCTGAGGAGCTGTCGCCACGAAGACGCCATCAGCGCTCTCAGGCAGACGCCCCAGAAGGTGCGGCTGGTGGTGTACAGAAACGAGGCCCATGGCAGGGACGAGGAGAACCTGGAGATCTTCCCTGTGGATCTGCAGAAGAGAGCCGGCCGCGGACTGGGCCTGAGCATCGTCGGGAAACGGTAAAGATGAGCCAGGAAAGTCGGGGCTGTCTCTCCCTTCAGGGCTCTGGGGACCGTGGCTGTGAACACTGAAAGGTAGACCCCGACGTGAACCCCTGGTGAGGTCACTAAGGCTGAGATACTGTGAATATCTGAACAACAGAGCTGGTGTTTCTGAGCAAGGTCTTACCAAAAACTTGTCATATTATGGTGGAACTCCAAGCCCAATCGCCCGTGCTATTATACTGATATTTCCTTACCGAGTAAGAATAGTGACCAGGGTTCTTTCACACTCGTGGGATTACTAGATCTGAGGTCTGCAGAGGTAGTTAAAGATACCCTACATGTATCAAGAGGTAGATTTATACAACATTGGGTTGAGAAAATTGCTCTTGCAGGCCGGGCACAGTGGCTCATGCCTGTAATCCCAGCACTCTGGGAGGCCAAGGCAGGTGGATTGCCTGAGCTGAGGAGCTCGAGACCAGCCTGAGCAAGCATGAGACCCCATCTCTGCTAAAGACAAGAGAAAACTAGCCAAGAGTTGGGGCGGACACCTGTAGTTCAGCTGCTCAGGGGGCTGAAACAAGAGGATCACTTGAACCCAAGAGTTTGAGGATGATGTGAGCTATGAGGCCACATCACTCTACCCAGGGCAACAGAGTGAGCGAGACTCTGTCTCCAAAAACAAAAGAGAGAGAGAAAAAAAAATTGCTCTTACATGTAACACTATGTTAATTTTATAGTGTGTTAAAACTACTTGAGTCAATAAAGAGATGAGGATAAATTCTTCATGACAGTAGTTTTTTATTAAGAAAGATGTCCTAGGCTCAGCACCCGTAGCATAGTGGTTTCAGTGCCAGCCACATACAACGAGGCTGGGGGGTTCGAACCTGGCCTGGACCTGCTAAAATAACAATGACAACTGCAACAAAAAAATAGCCAGGCCTTGTGGCGGGTGCCTATAGTCCCAGCTACTCGGAGGCTGAGGCAAGAGAATCGCTTAAGCCCAAGAGTTTGAGGTTGCTGTGAGCTGTGACACCACAGAACTCCACCAACATAATGAGACTCTGTCTCAAAAAAAGAGAAAGATGTCCTAGACCAGCCATAGTGGCTTATACTTATATTCCTGGTACAGGTACTCAGGTGGCTAAAGCAGGAGGATCACTTGAGCCCAGGAGTTTCAGGTTGCTGTGAGCTAGGCTGATGCCATGGCACTCTAGCCTAGGCAACAGAAGGAGATGCTGTCTCAAAAAAAAAAAAAAAA